CTAGGATTTTGTTATGATGTCAAAATGTGGAGATGTTACAAGGTAAAAAAAAAAAAATATTTATGGCAAACTTTTAGTGTTCCATGGCAGAAGACCATGGCAGAAGAAAGAAGCAGCAGAGACTACAGGGAGAATAATCTCTGATTCGTAGATGAGCAAGTGATTACAAAAGTGGAATTTTGCAGGTATTTTTGTGATCATGGGAAAGGTACATGTTTATGATCAGATAAATAACAGGACATAACACGAAACACTGTTTCTCAGAACATATCTGAAAGACATTAAGTTACATTTAAGTTTTAATTATTATTCCTAAGAGATCCATGGAACAAAACTGCCTCTGATTTGCAAGTCCCTTGCCCAAGGACAGATAGTTTGTGATATGCTGGAGGCTATTGTTTAAGGGAAAGTAACAAGCCACATGTTTTCTATCCTAATAAACAAGTTTGTTTGATGCATTTGCACTGATATGCTTGATCCCACATGGGCAGAATGTTCACAGGAAGGAGGTACCTCAGGATGCATGTTTGTTCCTGATTGGACATGACGAGAAATGCAATGAATTGTGGGTTTTCCTTCTTAAGCTTCTCCAAACTGTGATTCTGGGTATTGACCTGGCTGAATCCCATCTACCTGGCTAGTATTTAATTAAAGCTTGCTTTAAATTGGCCTTTGAACTGTGGTAGTGGTTTTATTGTGAAACAATGGAAATAATTATCATGTAATTTACCAGGTTACAGGGGAAGAAAAAAAAAATCTCAAAAGTAAAGTTGGCCTTCAACTTGGGTCACAACTAGAGATTGACATTATGTTAAAGGAGGAAAAGGAAGAAAATGGAATCAGCCTGTCCTTAACAATTGTGCAATTGTGCTTGTGTGGGGCATGAACAAAGAAATATTATTTCAAAGTTAAAAGATAAGTTGTTGAGAAGAATGGGATTGCTGTGAAGAACCTGGCTGTGTGGATTTTTTTTGGAAGGGTATGAAAGATGTGTTGGAACTTTGGGGCAGAAAAACAATGTAAAGCAAACAGTTTGGAGAGAAAAGCGTGCAGGGGTTAGCTTTGCGATGCAGCCACGGCTTGGCTGGGGGTGAGAGGCTGTTTTGGAGGTGACTGCCATCCAGGTAAAGCTTCCTCTGGGGCAGAACAAAGGACTGGGTGTTCTCAAAGCAAGGCTCCACCCACCTAAGCTTTCAACTCTAAGGAATTTCTTTGACTTAAAATGTCACTGAATAAAAGTCCCACAGTTAGTGAGACTCAGGGCTACCAGGGTCCATCATGAGCAAGGAGCTCAATTTGGCAGTTGTCAGCTATTGTCTCTAAAGGCATGAAGGTTGCAGGAGTGAAGGGCTACTCGCTCCCCGATTCTTCCCTTGATGTTTCAGAGTGCCAGCCATATGTGACAAGAGTATATCATGGTATAAAGACCATCCGACCCACAGGGCTGTGACAGGCCATCTCACAGAACTGTGAATATAAAACCAGGTTTGCAGTGGAAAACGAAAAATGTCACTAGGGCCAGGAGACACCTGCTGAAGAGAGCTGTACATATTTGCGTGGTAATGTATACAGTGTGTCATTACTTGGATGTAATTTGCTTTTTGGTTTTCAGAGTATTAATATTAAGAAATAACCTAATTAATGCATTTAGGGTACCACAAACTTTCATCTTAGGGTTCTGGTACAAGACAGATGGTATTAATACTCCTTTGACTACAATAACGTGTGTACAAATACAAATATGTATAGGTCCACATGTGAATGGAGGACGGAGGAATCCCTTGGTGTTGCTCCTCAGAAGCATGTCCACATTATTCTTTGAGATGTAATCTCTTGTTGGTCTAGAGCTTCCATAATTAGATTGGCTGGGAAGTGAGCTGTGAAAATCTACCCATGTCTGCCTCCCCAGAATTGGCATTATAAGTACTTATCAGGACACCCATTTTGTTTTTTCCCACGGGTTTTAGGAATCAAACTGGGGTATATATGATTATAAAGCAAAGACTTTACTATCACAGCTATCTCCTTAGTCTTGTAATTACTTATTGATGCTTACAAATCATATTATTGTAAAATGTACCCAAGTAAATAAGGTTTCTACTTCTTAACTGGTAAAATTAACCTATAAAAATCTCCAAAAAATCCATGCAGTTTGCATTTATTTTGTTTCCACTATTGATTTTACTAATGCAAATGCAAAATTTAAAATGAGAAAATAATAATCTGATGTAAAAATAATAGATGAAATAATAGAAATGTGCAGTATTAATAAAATGTCAAATTATTTTAAAATTATTAGTATCAAAGGATGGCTTAGTCATTTTGACAATTTTAAAAAAGAACTTACATTAATTTTAAATAAACAAAGCATGTATTTTATTCACTTTAACAGTGTTGTTGAAAACGAATGCTGATTTAAATATTAGCATTCCAATACTCATTTGGGAGAGCTGATTGCTATAAAAATTACATATTATTATTAGAGGATTAATATTAATAGAAAGGAATTTTGACAACAATGTGAGTTAAATTTTGAATAACTATGGCAGGTTTAATTGATCATTCATTTGACTAACTTCATTTCATCGTTCAAAGCATCCATTTGTAAGAAAATTACCTAAGACATTAAGTAGAAATCAACTACATCAAAAGGAGCAATGTGGGACAAAATTGATTGTTCAGACCTTATTAGTGCTAGAGTTTAATCAAATGAATTGATGAGTCTAAAGTAATCATCTACCAAATTACTGTCTTGTGGAATATTTTTATCCAGCAATGGAAACTCTTTTTAAATGATGTCCCTATAAAAAGACCAGGAGGGCTTGTTCATGTCTAATTCCAAACATTTAAAATTTCTCAACAATCCTAATCAAATGTTTGATAATTTCAGTAAGAAATAGTAAATAAAGTAAAATGTAAAAGAGGAATATTTCTTGGTTTTAAGGAGTAAGCAACTATGTATTTCTACAATTGATTTGTTACTTTATCCTCCAATTTTATCTGATAAACCATGATGTAGTCTCATCTCTAAAAAATATAATATAATATAAGATGTATGGGATATATAACTTAATGCATATATTCAAAAATTTTTTCAAATGACTGATTATTACAAAACTTAATAATGTTAAGTACTTAATCAAAGATTTTTTTTAGGAATAGAAAATAAAATGTTAACTGGCAGTCCCTGTTATAAAATAGCAAAGCTTCAAATGTAGGCAGGGTTTTCTGTCCTGTTAGCCTGGTCCCAAATAAAATAACCACACAGAGACTTATTATGAGTGCTCAGGCTTGTTACTATCTCTTTCAACTTATCAATTTAACTGATGTTTCTTATCTATGCTCTACCTAGCAGCATTATCTTTTTTTTTTTTTTTTTTTAATCATGGCATGTTCATCTCCTGCTTGATGACTCTGCCCTTCTTTTTCCCAGTATTCTCTTAGTGTGGGTCTCCTACCTAACCTCTCTCTACCTAGCTATTGGCCAGTTGGCTCTTTATTAAACCAATGGGAACATAACAATTCACAGTGTGCAAAATGATTATTCCACACAACTCAAATACACAAATTTGTTTCCCAAAAATAGCTTTCAATACTGTGATAAAAATAGACTGCAAGATAGGGGAAAACTATTTCTCATTAACATGGTAAGCAGAGTTGGGAGGGACAGAAGTTGGCATGGGATTGAGATAACATGGTCATTGTATGAAGCTAAACCTCAAACATACTGTTACAATAAAGACAGAATAAAAAGTATTACAATATTGCCTCATAGATGATTAGGTAAAAGAATGAAATTTAGAAACTTAAGCTCATCATCAGAATCATCAAATAAAAATGAAATAACGGGCTCGTGAGATTAAGATTGTCTGATGCTCCGCATCAGGACCTGAGTTTGTATCCATTGTTCACATGACAGTGCATGTTTACAATACTTGAATGCACAGATATACAGCCAGTAAAGCTTAGCCAAGGAATAACAGACTTACTTAACTATACAAAATAACTTGAAGGGAAAAAAGAGAAAATTAAAATGATCTTTAAAGAGATATCATATTTAAATTTTTATTTCTTATTGATAACTTTAGATAACAAGCTTGAAAAACAATTACTTTCTTTAAAAAAAAACTATTTGTGGATTGTGGAGTTCTTGAAGTTATGAACACCACACAAAATTATCAAGAAAGAAAGAGCAGCATGGTTGATGGTCGGGTATATGAGGCTGAGAGGTAAGCCCCAGAAGCAAAACCTACATTAAGCATATTTAAACAAATCTGGAAGGAAACTGAGAAGCTAGAACATCCTGAGATCTCTTCTCAGGGCTTCAGTCCTGTAGGGCATAACAATGTCACTGAGAATGCAGAAAAATCAGTTATCACAAAAGAACTTTGTGAGGTTGAGACGTTCTGGACATTATGATGGACATGCCATAAGGCAAATAAATGATTCTGAACCAGAGAGGGACTTAGTCACACTTCATTTAGAAGATTAATTGATGAATGTATGAAGGAAGAATGATCTATGGAAATATTAAATTCAGGGGTATTATAAAACGATAATTGAAACATTACAGGTAAGAAATTATAAAAGCCTTTGCTGCGACAATGGTAATGAACTACATAAAGAGGGGATAAATATTTAAGATACTGATTTAAATGGACTTACTTAATGATTCTAATTATTTTATACTTACAGGTTTTAGGTGTGCCCAATATAGTGTACCATTGCATGAGCCTAGCTATTGTGCCCAGTTACTTTAGTCCTTCATAGGATTATCATTTCTTTGTTGGACAACTTAGGAAAGACAATTTGAGAAGTATTGATAATTTTTTCAAATTGGTTGATATCTTTTGGAAATAAAAAAGGCTATAGTTCATTAAAAACTTTGTTTTCCATTGATAAAATCTGTTTTTGTTTTAAACAGAACATCGTATTTCCAATAATATTCACATATGTTAGATTCCTAAAAGTAGATGACTGAAACCCTTAGCATCTGAGACTTTTGTTTCCTGCATGGGTTGTCTCCTCAGTCACCATTCACAGGACTCTGAGAAGTCGTAGGAATATGCAAGCACATACTCAAAGCCCAGCTTTATCTCCAACATTGTGGAAAAAGACTGTACATCACATAGCAGGGCAAATATGTTCCCCTATGCCACTAGGACAGAGCCTGGGGACAGTGACCTCCCAGGGTATCCACAATGGATAAACAGAACATTTCTATATTGTCAAGAATTTAGTTATCTCTTGTTGTGAAGAAATATTAATCTGGTACCTTCTACCTCCTAGACTTTAAAGAAGCCATGATATGCCTTGTATGGCTACATACATATGGTATTCTTATTTTAACAAAAGGGTCCCTTCAAGCATGGAGTTTAAATAGAGATAGACATTGCAAATATTCAACACTAAAATAAAAAACTGCTATTTACCATATGGCAGTTTAGTAGAAAGATGTTAGTTTCAGTCTGATGAGTGAGAAACCGAAAAGAAGTGATGAGAAACCTAGAACAAAAATCATATGTGAAATACCCCTGAAGTGCCTAAGATAGTAGCAAAGAGTCAGTATTCCTGAAATGAAGAGAGGATGATGGTTACCCATGATGTATGCTTAATGAGGAGGCAGAGAAAAGATGAGTCAGATCCTGTCAGCCTAAGAACAATCTATATTTATTTACAAATTATAGCACCAAGAGAGTATTGAACCACAGGTAAATAAGAAATCACAATGCTTTAAAGGCTCAGTTCAAGGTGTGGTTTGGATGAGGATGGCCACTACCTGCTCCTGTGTTTGAATGTGCTCCCCAGACAGTAAAACTGAGAAGAATGAAGAGATGTTGGAGTAAGTGTGTTGGGGGGTGCTTTTAGGTTTCAGAACCCATGCTAAACTGAATCTCTCTCTGTCTCTGCCTTCTGACCTGGGTAAGCTCTTGGCTCCTGTTTGTTATAATATGCCTGCCTTCTTAACTACTGCTACACTCCCTGCCATGCTGGTAATGAACTAATTCTCTGAAACTTTAAGCCAGCTCTCAGTTAAATGCTTCTATAATTTGTCTCAGTCAAGGTATTTTGTCAGGGCATTTGAACAGTGGCTAACACACACAGGTATCACTTGTTCCAGTCTACATTCATAGAAGTGGCGACTGGAATACGGCAAGTTAGGAATATGTTGGTCTAGTAAAGTGGTAGTAGGAGGTTCTTCTCTAAGATCCATGATCTCACTAGACCAGGGTAGTTGAATATGTTTTTAGTATCAAATATTTCCTTCCTGTTGAGAGGGTGGAAATTCCAATCAGAGAGCTGTTGCTGCTGTCAAGATTCCATAATTCCACCTTTAGGGATATCTTACTGTAACGAGTACTGTTTTTCTACCCGCTGCCTCTGGTCTTGTCCCGCTGCCGAGCCAGCCCCAAATAATACACAGAGACTCTGTATTTGATACATTGCTGTTGGCCCGGTTACTTGTTTCTTATCGGCTAGCTCTGCCTTTAAGTATTAACCCATTTCTGCGTATTTCCACGTGGTCTCCTTACCGGGGAGTGAGGCAAGCATCTGGTCTCCCTGGTCTCTCCATGCTGACTCCTCCTATCTACTTCCTCTTTCCTCCTTGTCTCCTGGTACCGCCTATCTTCCTTTCCTATTGGCCAACAGTGCTTTATTATTAACCAGTATGAGAAACATATACAGAATGACATCTCCCATCATCTTACCATGATGGTCATTTTTGCAGTCATAGACATCAGAGCTGTGCAAAGTATTGATTGTCTTTCACTATATAAGCTAGTTGTCAGGGATATGGCTTTCAAGTCAGATCCATCTCCATTCATACTTGCATTGTATGTGGAGTCTTCAGTGGTAGAGACTTAAATTCAAATTTTAGAATCCAACCAAAGGCAACAGCAAACACCTACAATATTTAGGCTTTAGGAGAAAGGGGACATTGTCATCTCAAGTGGCATAACCTCACATGTGTATGTTTGTGAGGTAGATACACTATATATATATATATATATATATATATATATATATATACACACACACACATATACACATATATATGTGTATACATATATGTGTGTGTATACATATATATGTACGTTACATGTAATTTTATGGAAATATGAAATAATGTTTTCTCAAAGCTTTTTCAAAAATCTTTAGTGTTATTTGTCCCTCTTCCCTTCTCATATTACCACCATCTTCTGAATTCACAATTAAAGCACTCCAAGCTCTCCTCCCTGCTTTTCAAATATCCCTGTTCACATCACTTTTAACTGGCTAGTCCCTCACTCTGGGTCTCTCACTCACTCTCTCTCCTTTCCTGAATCCTATAGTTACTCTAGGTAATAATATACATGAATATATATGTATACATACAAATACATAAGCATATTTCTATGAAGAGTGCAAATTATATAAATGTGATCTATCTATAAGATAAAAAGAAGGAATGTATCTAAAATATAGGGGAGTATTAATTCAAGTACCATCCTTCAATATCTTTGCCTTTGTGCACAAGTACAATAGAAATCTGTAATTGAACATAATTGTAGATTTAAAAAGCAAGAAAAAGATCATAAGTCTATATTTTAGTCACTTACTACTTAAATGGGGTATGTATGAGTATACACATACATAGATGTGTTTATACATATTTGACATGGTTATAACAATTTGTTATATCACTATTTCAGAAAGTCACAGAACTTAGTAGTTTTCATGGAATGGATTTGGTGTCTTGGAAAGTATTTAACATTCCCAGAATTAGTTTATTTTATATAAAACCAGCATGCTTTTTCCAAAGGCATAGGTCTCCAGCACCATCTGAGTTTTGCCTTCATAGTCTGCAAATCCCATGAGAATACTGCACAGGTGTGAAACCATGGTAAAAGGCCATCACTCCTATCTGTCTTTAAGGGTCCACTTTAAGTCTGTGCTTCATCAGCCCAGTTAAGGAGCAGTGACATTCAACTCTCTCCTGAGTTCTTTAGCATCAGTCCTGCAGGTTCTATATTACCTGCACTTCACAGCTCAGTGTCTCTGACTCTTAGAGGGAGTGTCAATCTTAGGGCCTTGAAATCTCCAGGACACTTTCCGGGCACTTGGTCAAGGAGTGAGGCACTTGGAAGTCATTATGAAGAGTACTACTAGAGAGACACACTTGTTCTAGTCTTTGCATCAGAAATACTTGGAGTCTCATAACATTGTATATCAAATGATACTTCCCAGATACTTAAAAAGTCGTTTGTAATAAAGAATATATGTATATATCAATAAAGAGATTAGACATAGATATAGATGGTATATGTATATGTATATGTATAGAATAGCCTGTTCTGCCTGCAGTAAGTGCTGGGGAAATGGTGACTCCAGGATTGTGGGAATGGCCAGGCAGTGACAGGTCTAACTTGAAGCCCAAGTCATAGGAAGTCCACAAACAATGAAATTTGCAGGTAAATGTGGTTGGAACTAGAAAATTTCATCTGAAGAAAGCAACCCAAATCCAGAAAGACAAATGCTGGCATATTCTCTTATTTGTGTATCCCAGCTCTTAATATATGAGTAAAAAATTTGGAGCAGTGCTGACACCAGAAAATTGAAAGGGGAAAGTGGTTGGGGGTCTTTAAGAGAGGGAATAACAGGAAACAGGTTATATTGTGGGGGAAGTTGGGGAAATGGTACAATAACTGGGGTTGGTAAGAGAGGATAATTATACAAAAGGAGAGGGAAGGAGGAGGGATAAGTAGCACTAAGAATATTTGATAATGTCCAAGAAAATACATTATTTATTTAAAATACATATAAAGTTGTATGTAAATACAGTATTCCTATTGCCTTACAAATTAAGTTGTGCTACTTATGGTAACAATGCTCTCCCCAAAGACCTATACTATCTAACAAAACCCTAAGGATAGGCATTAGAAACCTTCTCTATAATTACTTGTCCAAGACATCAAAACAATATAAACTGTTTTCATTGCATATTTACCCCCCAAAGATTGAAAATAAATTCTATTGCTGAAGACATCACAAATTTCAAACACAAGAATTAGCAGCATTGAACTGGAATTGACCAAGGAGACTCATCCTTGTAGACTCATTCTCATAATATCGTAAGTTGCTATGCAAGCTGCTGAGGGAGAAGAGCAATCAATAATCCTACCCTCAAAGCCTACCAACCACATCAATGTCAGTATGGCAAGATAAGCATGCAGTAGCAGTTCTTATGTATTGGGCATAACCAACAGTCTTATAATTAAACTTAAAGTCTCCTCAGTAAGAGTGAATTTATACCTGATACTGGAAAAATGACCAATTACATACAGTAGAGTCCCTTTTAGCATGGCTTTTATTATAGTATACAATACAATACAATAGTGAGTTGTGAAATCCAGAACATTATGTCAGTAAAACAAATTTGCTGCATTGACTTCAGTAATCCAGTCTTAAGCATACATAATTCTTTGTCCACATCAACTCACATTCTTCTTTTGCCTAGACTGTTGGTGAAAAAAGATCTTGTTCACCTCTCTTCACAGCATACTCAGACACTGGATAATAGGGTAATACGTCTAGGTACAATACTTTTGGTTTACTCATTTTCTCACTACTGTTGCAATTCAGTGCCTTTCCACTATATGTTACCACTCCCTATAGCCACACACCTATTGTTTTGCTTCCTTCCTTTAGAAATAGAGTGGTTCCAAATGTCTCTAATGGGGACATTCTTCTCCCTTGGGGGTACGAGGATTTTAATTTATTTTTCAGCAGTAATGTTCTATATTAGATTTTTGTGTGTGTGTGTGTGTGTGTGTGTGTGTGTGTGTGTGTGTGTAACACAAAGGCAAATGGATGGAAGTAGAAAAAAGAAATCATCCTGTTGAGCGAGGTATCTCAGACCCAGAAACACAAATATAGTATGTAAGTAGATATTAGCTGTTAAGTAAGTGATAAGCTACAACCCACAGTGTTCAAGAAAGGCTAAATAACAAGGGGGCTCTAGCAGAGACACACAGATATTTCTAGGAAGGGGAAATAAAACAGATGTTTTGAGTGGTTGGGGGCAGCTGGGTAAGGGAACTGAAGGTGTCAGGCAGGGGGTAGGAGATAAGAAGGTAGGAAGAATGGGTAGAGAAGGCTGGAATTAGGGGACAATGTGAAAACCCAGTGCAGTGGAACCTTCCTGAAGCCCATGAGGGTGACCC